ACGAATTTAATTGCCTCTTGAAATTTTGTCAAAGGCCTGTCTACAAAATGTAAATGCTTTATTAATCTCAATGTATTTTCAAGATGCGCTGGTAGTAAAAAATACCAATGTACATAAATTTGTAGCTATGATACCAAAGCTTCAGACTTTAAATAAAAGTCACTAATTTTGAGTACCCAATTCCAGATGTTTCAAAGTTGGAGTAACTGTTCTACTCTAAATGCTATTGCATTTTGTATGCCCAAAGCACAGCTCCATTAACATCAGCAGCAGAAATTTACCACTGCTGCAAACCAAGCTCCGGAACCCCAGGACAGGCATTTATTTCATAGGAAAATGAAGGACACAGTTACATATGTATTTGGTGTGACTAGCCCTGTATATGATTCAATCACTGCTACAAAGTTCAACTATTTACAATAAGAATTCCAACAAAGAAGCTGGGGCCAGTTCCCAAGCTGGGAGGTTTAATCCAGCCATTCACTACCTTTCTGGTGCTCGTCTTGTAATCTAATGATCTTCTAAAAATTTAATGGGCTGTTTCACAGATATTCTAAAAAAAATTGAAGAGTTCCTCTTTGACATTCTAGCAGTTATCAGTGCGACACCTTCTGGTAGGTACATGGGTCAGTCTTCCACACAAACCACTCACTAGTGACTTCAATAATTAAAAGAGACAAATCTCCTTAAAACACTTAAAACTCATCATTTCTCAGCCTATGCAAAGAAAGGGACATCTACAACAGCCCTGCTAACATGGCTGGACGTAGCTTCCACATTCCTTCCTCTGAATCATTTGTATTTGGAGTTCCTTCATAAAATCTTCCTAATGTAAAACTGCTGAACTCTAGTAATTTCTCCTAGTATCTCCTCATACTTTGACTACGTATGTATTCAAGACAAGCACTATATGAGTGTCTCACAGAGCTGTAAGAAAAATGTATAAGCGCTGGGCTTCAGTGCTGTGTGCATTCAGGTCGTGCAACTCCTGGAATACAGACAACACACTGCTTAGCACAGTTTCAGCTGCAGGCACGCACAGAGACACACAAAACTGTGCCCAGAAATAAAACCACCAGCCAGAAAAAAGGCAACTGAGAGTCTGTGCCCTCACACAACTTTGCTCCCTGGGAACTGACAAAAGGCAGCACGAATCAGCTGCAAATTCGCTATGTTAACATCTGAAGAGCAGAAGAATTCGATAGAACATCGTGGCAGAGTGATTACTAAGAAGCTTAACAAAGTACAAGGCAGCAAGAATTGCTTGCTCGCCAAGTGTCAAAGGAAAGAGGTCCTGCATTTTCTGCACTGTGCCACTAGCAGATGACATTTTCTCCCCAAGAAGGCTAACAACAGTTTGGTGGGAGTTTTAAATTGAATGTGTTCTTGTCAACCTGTAAGTAAAAGTACTGAATATCATTGCATGCATAAAGACTAAGGGAATGTAAAATCTAATGGACGGGCTCTTTTTTCTTCTGTGGAGTAGGGTAAGTGTAAGGAAGTTTTTATTTGCACCTGATCAATACACTTCTAAAAAGAAGTTCATCTTAAGAATACCTGATGTTTTTGCACTGATGATCAGGAACACTACTTAACCATCATTATAGCAGGGATGGCATTCTGCTAGAAACAAAGCCCATTTAAGAAATCAAGGCAGAAGCAATTGTATGCTATGAACTGAAAGAATACATGATTTTTTTGGCTTCATTTCAGGTGGTTTATCCCTTATTCACTCATCTTGCTCTTTTTCTCTCTTCCCTGCAATTCATGGGTTGCTGCAGATAGGAACTTAGTTTTCTTTCTTTTCTATCTCATCTCTTAATGTTTTAAGTTTAATCCTATAAGTAGATTTTTTATACAGGGTTATTAAGTGACAGTTACATCATTATTCTAGAATAGCTGTTCGATTTTAAAGTAAGCACTGTAAAATTCAAACCTCAAGTAAATTCTCACTTTCACTCCCACAATCTGTCAGATGTTACCAGAGAAGCGTCCAGCACTAAAACATTTCCAAAGTGTCCTCTTCCAGACCAGTAAGCTATAATTATAGATGTATTCAAAGATCACCAGAAAATGTCCCAGAAATAGATTTTCCTTCTCAATTGCTAAATCACAAAGGTGGAAGCACACTTGTTTCCAAATTACATTTGCTTCCTAGTGCTGGTTTTGCTACAGAAAATACTAACCAGCAGCACATCAGATGGTCAGTACCCATCAGCAGGGAGACACCTGAGGGTATTAACTGCATAAATCATTTCTTGGAACACTCTGTTCCATTTCAAGACTGGCCTGTTGTTCTTCAGTTCCCTGAGCACACTGACATAACACACACACGCCTTCTCTTTTTCATTTTTCCTTAGATATGCAGCTTATTTATGAGAAAACCAGTTACAGAAATGTATGTTCTGACTCACTGTTTATGAAAGTACCAATGATTTATGCACTGTAGTTTGTATTTACTTCCAACGAAGTAAATTCAGAAACCAGTCTCCAGTAGGCCTTGAGCAGAAATGTCTGTGACTGGTTGTAGTGCCACCAACCCATTCCCTCTGAGTAGGTACCTTTCTCACTAGAGAGAACTAGAAACACTATTCCATCCTGCTAAACGGCCCAACTTCACTGTTCGAATCAATCCTCTATTGCACTTTAAGGCCAAGCTTTTTGGCCTGATGTCTTACAAACTGAGTATGTTTTGTTTCTCAGACTGACTTGGAACATCCTCAGCACATGACAGACAATAAAATAAGCTGCACAACAATCCTCGAGATGGGGACAGCTTAGTTCTTTTTTACTTAAGAAAGAGGCAGTTAAATATTAAGGAGCTAATCAACTTGTCCAGACTATAGCATTAATAAAGGAAGAATATAAAGCCTATCAGTGTCCTTCCCTATTCACCCTGAAGTCTCGCTAGCCACAGTAGCATCACTGAAGTGCTACCCCTCTGAACACAGATGCACAAAAAAGCTCCAAGAACACCAGTCACCTCCCAGGGCCCATTAAGAGTAATCGACAAAACTTTCAGTTTTCCAGAAAGCACTTCAAGTAATGAAAGCGCCAAGCCAGCCTCTTATTGCACTTTGCTGAACTCCTCAGCAGTTTGCGGACAACCTTAACCAGCCAGGTTTACATACCTTTGCCTCAATGCACTGTACAACCTGACAGCCCGAAGGGCCAGTGTGGCAGCATGCTCCAGGGACCTAGCAAGCAGGACACAGTGCCAAGGATCCCTCCTGCAATAGAGTGACCTCCCAGCACAAGGACCTGGCCAAGGCAAGCTGGTCCCCTAGCATCACCGGGAAGATGTTCCAGCCGCTGCAGCCCAATGCCCTCATGCCTCAGAGGTGGCGGGCTGGCTGCAGAGGGGCATGATGATGATTTGCCACCCACTCTGCCAAGTCAGCATCATTCATACACATATAATAAAAAATACTAAGGAGACTGGTTTTCAACATGGTTTTCTCTTGCTAAGAGAACATCAAGGGGGTGGGCGAGAAACAGGTTTAAACAGCAACCCATACAGAGTCAGTGCAGAGAGCAATGTACTGCAGTAAAAAAACCCACAGAATCATTAGGGTTGGAAGGGATCTCTGAAGATTATCTAGTCCAACCTCCAACAAGGGTCACCTAGAACAGGTTACACAGGAATCCAGGCGGGTTTGGAATGTCTCCAGAGAAGGACACTCCGCGACCTCCCTGGGCAGCCTGTTCCAGTGCTCTGCCACCTTCAGTGTGAAGTTCTTTCTCACGCTGAGGTGAAGCTTCTTGTGTTTTAGTTTATGATCACTGTTCCTCATCCTGTCTCTGGGCACCACCGAAAAGAGTCCCACACCATCCTCTTGGTACCCTGCCTTTAAAATATTTATATGCATTAATGAATTTGCTCTCAAGTCTTCTCTTCTCCAGACTAAACAGGCCCAGCTCCCGCAGTCTCTCCTGATAAGAGAGATGCTCCAGACCCTCAGCATCTTTGCGGCCCTCTGCTGGACCCTCTCCAGTAGCTCCTTCTCTTTCTTGAACTGAGGAGCCGAAAACTGGACATAGTGAATAAAAACACCCTCAATAAGTTATATTTAATGCACGGTACCCATTTACCCTACTGATAAAGACCCGGAACGCGTATTTTAGCCGACCGCGGCGGCTGTCAGCCACCTCCGAGATCCCTCAGCCCGTCACTGGCCAGTGGAGGCCCCGGTGTGGAGGTCGCGGGGGGCCCGGCCCGGCCCCCGCGCTGCACCGCCCTCCCCGCAGCGCGGCGGGGCCGCGGCGCCGGCCGGGCCCGGCGGTGCCGCGGGCGCTTCCCCCCCGCCCTCGCACCGCTTTGAGGTCCAGCACGCCGTCCTTGGCCTCCTGCAGCAGCGACACGAACTTGGTGGTCAGCAGCCCCAGGCTCTTCTCGTGGCGGCTGCTGCCGCCGCCCGCCGCCTCGGCCGCCGCGGCCATGCCGCCCGCGGGGCCACGTGTCGCCTCCGCCGCAACGGCTCGAGCGCGGAGCGCGGCCCCGGCCCAGCGCGGCGGCGGAGAGAGGGGCGGAACCGCAGGAAGTGACGCCGCCGCCGTTGCCGGGACAGCGGCGTGTTTGGGCCGCGGGGGGCGAGGGACGGGCCCCCTGCGCCCGGGGAACAGGGGCCGGGCCGGGCCCCGCAGACAGGGAGGACACTGGGCTGGCATGGCCTGGGCCGGCTTTCGCTCAGGCTCCCCCAGGAGGGGTGGCGCAGGCTCGGAGTCCGCCTCAGGACGGGACGGGGCTTCGGCGACCGGCCCGAGTGCCAGATGCGCCTGCCTGTCCCCGGCACGACAGCTCCGTGTCACTCATCTCACCGCTTGCATTGGATATAGCAGCGCTTAGGTTAATTGTAAACTGTGTTCTCACATCTCCCGAGGTCAAGGCACAGGACGCGCTGATAGTCTGGCGAGAGGCACAGGGAATTTCGGAGGCTTACTCAGTCCCTTGCACTCCTGTCTAAATACACTCGGCCTTAACCTTCCTGCAGGTACACCTCTTTCCCTCAGTAAAAAGTAGATAAAACTAGAGAAGCTGTGAAAGTCCACACTGCGTAAGAATTCAAGGGATGCACTTGAAGGAAGAAATGCTGCCGGGAGAAGACCCTTAGGTACCATCACAGGAGGCAGTGGAGCACATCACACCGGGGGTTCTGTGTCACACAGGGCCTGTACCTGCACAGGTAACAGCATGTGCTGGGCAGTATGGGTATGTATAGGAGCACGCAGTTACACACGCTCTCTGGAATCACAGTCCCCCTGGTACCAAGTAACAGGAATTTCCTAACAGATTACATACTCAATATTGATTAAAACAGATCCATTATCTTGTCAGGAAATGAAAACAAAATCTAATGATGGAGTCATAAAATCATAGAATCAACCAAGTTGGAAAAGACCTCCGAGATCATCAAGTCCAACCCTTGATCCAACACCATCGTGGTTACTATACCATGGCACTAAGTGCCACATCCAATCTCATCTTAAAAACCTTCAGGGACCACCACCTCCCTGGGCAGCCCAGTCCAATGTCTGATTGCTCTGTAAAAAATTTTTTCCTAATATTCAACCTAAACCTCCCCTGGCACAGCTTAAGACCGTGCCCTCTTGTACTGCTGGTTGCCTAGGAAAAGAGACCAACCCCCACCTGGCTACAACCTCCTTTCAGGTAGTTGTAGAGAGTGATGAGGTCTCCCCTGAGCTCCTCTTCTCCAGGTTAAACAACCCCAGTTCCCTCAGCCTAATATATAGGACTTGTGCTCCAGTCCTTTTCACCAGCCTCGTTGCTCTTCTCTGGACCTGCTCCAGCACCTCAATACCCTTCCTGAACTGAGAGGCCCAGAACTGGACATGGTACTCGAGGTGTGGCCTCACCAGCACTGAGTACAGGGGAAGAATCACTTCCCTAAACCTGTTGGCCACACTGTTCCTGACACAGGCCAGGATACCATTGGCCTTCTTGGCCAGCTGGGCACACTGCTGGCTCATGTTCAACTTGCTGTCAATCCAAACTCCCAGGTCCCTTTCGGCCTGGCTGCTCTCTAGCCACTCTGTCCCCAGCCTGTAGTGCTGCAGGGGGTTGTTGTGGCCAAAGTGCAGGACCCAGCACTTGGTCTGATTCCAATGGGATGAGGTTCAACAAGGCCATCTCTCCAGCTTGTCCAGGTCCCTCTGAAGAGCCCTCCTGCCTTTCAGAAATCAACACTCCCCCCCAACTTGGTGTCATCTGCAAATTTGCTAATGGTACACTTGATCCCCTCATCCAGATCATCAATAAAGATATTAAATAGAACTGGGCCCAACACTGATCCCTGGGGGACACCACTAGTGACCAGCCGCCAACTGGATGCAGCACCGTTCACCACCACTCTCTGGGCCCGGCTCTCCAGCCAGTTCTTAACACAGCAGAACTGTTTTTAGGTTGTCATGATTAATGCACAAGAGCATGCCTTGCATCTGATGAGGTCAGAGTTTCCAATTTGTTTATATTTTTATTTATTAATTTATACCTTACAGTAATGTCAGGTTAAAATTCATCCTCATGAATTGGTAAATTTGGCACAGCTTTCACCTGAACCACACTTTTATTGTTTTAACCTTTCGAAGGTAGAAATCATTTAAATGCTTATTAAAAAGCTCTAAGGGAGCCTTGTAAGCATAAAGAGGGAAATGATGCCAGAGTTAGCCGCAAGAAAAACAAACATTCCAAGCAGTACTAACACGTGCACGTACTCAAGTACTGCAGTATGAGATTTCTGAGCCAAGAACAAGGAATAGAAAGAATATATGCTAAAAATTGTAACAACTCCCTCTGATGAAATCAGAAAAGTTTCAGAACAAAAATTTTGGAGTAAAAACTCAGAGAAGATACTAGTACACTGAGTTGGGGTAAGAGTACGTTCTTTCAACTTCATGGTGCATTCCAGTTACTCAATTACTTCACCCAAAGTGTAGCTTGGTCAAATAAGCAAAGAAAAAAGAAGTGCTCAAGGAAATACTAGATAAACATGACAGAATGCACTCTCAAGTGGTGCAACTTTTCTGCACCAGTGATACCCATGAAAATACTATAGACCAGTTTTCCAAGTGAGTATTTCCTCACATACTGCAATTTCTGAAGGAGTGTGTAGAGCACAAGAATAAGAAAAAATTTTCTTCTGCCTTTAGAGAACTGATATATTGGTATCAGGGAATCAAGAGATCCCCTAGCAGATCAAGGATTCTGCTAGAAGAATAAATTAGGCTAATTTTAAACTTCACAGCAATATTTACTGGACTAACATTCATTAACACAATTGGTTAATTAGAGTTGGTTCCTACACCTTGCTAACCATTGCCACTATGTATTAATTTTTACATATTATCAACCAATAGCACAGATTCCAAGTGAACAATCCTTAACAGCTCTATCCTATCTGAGCTCTATCCTGAGTATCACAGTGCAGATGCCTCCTCATCAGTGCTGATGGTTTGTTCATGGTGTTCTCATGGGTCAGGTGTGGGAACTCTGGATGCAAGGAGCCAGAGCTGAAGCAGGTGCCTGCTTTCTCTGTGTGTCTCATCCCGTCCCCCCCCAATTTGGAATTTTAACCTTTTATAATCTTTATACAATTCCCAGCCCTTCACCTCCACCCTGTGGAGTGGGGGTTGTTTTCCCAGGGTGTTGCAGGCACCTCATTCAGGTGTTGGGCTGCCTTTTATTTTGCTTTGCTGCTGCTTCTATTCTATAAAACAAAAGATGTCTGTTCCCAGCTCTCAAGGTTGTACTTTGTCAAAGACCAGTCACTGACCATCAGAAAGTTGCTTTTGCTGCCGTGGCCTCTGCTTTCAACTTGTGCCCGTGTTTTCAAGGCCTTTGTTACATCCCACACTTAAGCTGGACCTCATAACAAGAGGCAGCTGGTATCAAGCTCCAGTTCACACAACAAGCTTTCATTAACACATTGATAACAAGGCCAGTGGGCCTCACAGCTAAAGGCCAGGGCCTTTTTACTAGCACTAAGTACTTTCACAGGACTGCTGGGCACAAAAAGGCACATACAGATACACTGTGTGCTCTAATGCCCAGGTTCTGAACGAGCTGATTAAATCGGCTTAGTAGCTTCTATCGTTGGAGCAACAGCACTCTGCTTCGGCTACTATGACATGCAAGGTGGGTAGAAATAGCTCCACCTGGTGTGCCAAAAAGTACCTGATTTTACTACTCGTTTTATTTACTAGTGCATCATGAAACGCTTCTGAGTTCAGTGTGGTTCAATAACAGTTTAGGATCTTCTGAGAACAAACAAATGAAGTAAATGCCTAAGTGCAGTGGTGATGGTTAAGCCTCCATCATGAAAGAAGTATAACAATATATTAACATAAGGCTTATGATTTGCTTCCATAAGAAGCTGTTAGGTCATTATCTCCTATTTTTCAAAAGCGTGGTGGGAAGCCTATTGCTGTAGAGAAAACGAAACTACGCTGCCAAAAGAGCCACTCCAAGTTGCAGTAGTCATGCATTCTTCAACAGTGGCAGATTAAACTTCACAGATACAAGAAAGATAGAGAGTCTATTTCTCATGTAGTGACAGGAAAAGGGGGAATTGTTTTAAACTGAGAGTAGTTTTAGATTAGGTGTTAGAAAAAAATTCCTTCCTGTGAGGGTGGTGAGGAACTGGAACAGGTTGCCCAGAGAAATTGTGGATGCCCCATTCCTGAAAGTGTTCCAGGCCAGGCTGGATGAAGCTCTAAGCAACCTGATCTAGCAAAAAGTTCCCTATCCATGGCAGGGGGGTTGGAACTAGATGATCTTGAAGGTCCTTTCCAACCCAAGCCATTCTATGATTCAACATTCTTGGACCTCTCATTACAAGATTCTTTACCCCAGTGAAGCAAAGCTTCAAGCTCTTGGCTTAGAACTTTCCAACTTTCTTTTCTCTTATTAAACATGCAAATTCCTAATTTTATATGATGTTTTTCACCTATACCTGTTTGGATCCATTTTGTCATCAATTAAAGATAACCATAGGTTAGAAATAACTATTTATTATGAATATAACATAAAAACATTTATGTCTGATCCCTGAACCATCAAAATAAACAACAAAGACAATTCTCTAGAAAACAAGGAAAAGTGCATTGTAGTGTATGAAATTGCTTAAGCTTGTGTAATACGTTTTTAGAGTAAATATTAATAATCTTCAAAGATCTTGTTGAATATCATTCAATGCACGTGCAAGTAGTTGTATTTTATTTTCCATGGCTTTTTTATTGTTTGCCATTTCCTGCAGAAGCTCCCGCATTTCTTCTTCAACAGAGAAAACCTGAAAGAACACAGAGATACAAAGAAAATTCTTGCTTTTCTTAATACACATAAACTCATAAAATCTTGGCAATTTTTAACACTTATAGGCAATGCAAGAGTTATGTGCTTCTGTTTAAATATGCAATGCACTACTCTTGACATTGGATGCAGTAGCAGAATTTTGCTTTAAAAAAAATATTAACCTACTAGGACATAGCAAGTAATGTATGAAAACCAGAAAACTTATTATGGAGAAAAAGCACCAGTTGTCATGCCAAGGAAAAATGCAGTACACGACAGGAACAGTAAGTGTTACCATTGGCATAGGTGAGTTAAAAGGATTATCTGGCTTAATCATCATTACTCTTGCTTGTATAGATAAGGAAGTGTTATATTCATAACAGCTACAAAGCATGCAGCTTTACTTTGCTGGAATACCAGTTCTAGAGATTTTCTTGCTGTGCAAGCCCTGCAAACCAGGGCTGTTTCCATTCAGAGATCAGACTGATAGATACAAACAGGAGACTTCCAACCACCACTGTTATAGTGGCTGTAGAATAAAAATGCAAATACAATAAACATATGCATTTAATATTAAAATTACCTTTTCATTTGCTGCTTCAATTTGTTTTTCCTTTTCATTTGCCAGCTGCAACAGTTCTTCCTGATGTGCTGCCAACATTGACTCAAGTTTTTTTCTAAAAGCATTATCCATTTCATGAAGCTTTTCCACAGCAATCCTAAAAATGATTAAAAAAAGAGATCATGCTCCTGCAAACAACTGAAGTATTTTGCTTTGTCCAGTTCTGCCTTTGACAAGGTTTTAATAACATAGGCACAGAGACATTTCTATCAATATCAGCATTAGAAGATGTCCTGTTTTCTCAAGTATGTGTTCTGGTTTTATGCACTGTGTTCAGGGCTTCTGGCATTCCTCTTAGAAGAAGCATTTAATCACTAGCAAAGACTATGAAGATTCAGGCTTGCTACTGTCAATATGGATAGGAACTTCACATGTTTTCAAATATCTACTTTTATGCTTTTGCTTCCCAAGAAGTGAATGACTGAACTGTGAGATCCTGTAAATGGCCTTTGACCCTGTCTCACAGCATCAGAAAAGTGTCTGCTTCACAGTAGTGAAGCATTTTCTTGACTCAAGCAAATTTTAGGGGATAACTCTAAAATATGTAGGAACAAAAAGCAAGGCAAATTATTCTACTACACAATTAATTTACAACAAATGTTTGAAAGAATCCAGAATTATTTGGAACTACACAATTAATTTACAACAAATGTTTGAAAGAATCCAGAATTATTTGGAAAAAAAGCTCAGTTCCACTACTGATTTTCTAACAATTCCAAAAACATTATTCCAAAACAATTATTGATTATTTGAGGGGGTTGGTTTTGGTTGGGTTTTTTTGTTTATTTCTTTGTTGTTTGTTGTGTGTTTTTTGTTTGTTTTTTTAATCAAACTTGACCATCAAGCTATTTTCTTTCATTTATTAATCATATAACCTTCCTTAAAATAGCAACTAATGTATAATTAATCAGTGTTTAACTTAAAATGTAAAGCAAAAAACCTTAGTCATACCTATTCCTTTGGTAACATGGTTATTGCTGCTAGATAAATATAATAAATATGTAGCCTTATTAATTAGCTGGTATTTTCTCAAGAATAGTTGGGAGGAAGGAAGAAAAAAAATGAGAAGGAAGCCAAAGAATAAAGAAGAAAATCATACTGAGAATCTAAGGCAGCAGTCTAGCACACTTCTCCATAATACCAGAAGCATATGAAATAATTTTCTGGGTTATGAGTACTTGTTTCTGTATCATCTCATATTTAACTATTGATCCAAAAAAATTGACCGTACATGAGGAACAAGAAAATAAATTAAAAATCTGTTGCTACTTGTACGCAAAGAGAATGACAGGTAAGTTAGAAACAGTCTGTTTGTAATGGATGGGAATACTAATTAACAGCCAGCAAGTTAGGCAGGAATGTTGATCTGATGGAGGGCAGAAAGGCTCTTCAGAGGGATTGGTACCTGTTGGATTGATGGGCCAAGGCAAATGGTATGAGGTTCAACAATGCCAAGTGCCAGATCCTGCACTTGGGACACAACAACCCCAGGCAGCGCTACAGGACTGGGGCAGAGCGGCTGGAAAGCTGCCCATCAGAAAAGGACCTGGGAGTGCTGGTCAACAGTGGCTGAACACAAGCCAGGAGGGTGCCCAGGTGGCCAAGAAGGCCAATGGCATCCTGGCCTGTATCAAAAATAGTGTGGCCAGCAGGACCAGGGCAGTGATTGTGCTGCTGTACTCAGCGCTGGGGAGGTCACTGCAAGAAAGACACTGAGGTGCTGGAGCATGTCCAGAGAAGGGCAACAGAGTGGGTGAAGGGTCTGGAGCAGAAGTTTTATGAGAAGCAGCTGAGCTGGGGTTGTTTAGCCTAGAGAAGGGGAGGCTCGAGGGGACCTCAATGTTCTCTACAACTACCTAAAGGAAGGTAACAAGTGACAGGATGAGAGGAAATGGTCTCATGTTGCACCAGGGGAGGTTTACATTGGAACTGGATGGGAAAAATTTTTGTACTGAAAAGGTTGTCAAGCATTGGAACAGACTGTCCAGGGAAGTAGCTGATTTCACTATCCCTGGAGGAATTTGAAAGAGTTGTAAATGTGGCAGTTAGGGAGATGGTTCAGTAGTGGACTTTACAGTGCTGGGTTAATGATTGGATTTGATGGATCTTAAACGTATTTTCCATCCTAAATAATTCTATGACTTATTAATATTGTTGTGGTAAGTATTGAGGATCTGTCCTCCATTTTGTACACAGTGAATGACGTATTTTTACTTTATCCTGCACAGAAATTAGTGAAAGCACTGTGGCCTCCCTTGTACACCAGCTGCCATTGCTTGGCTTGATCTCTGATTTGCAATCAATTTGTTCCATGCATCCTGGTCATGAGCTAGAGGGTTGGCAGGCTCATGCTCAAAGAAACCCTGACAGAGACTGTGCCTCATGCGCACAAACATCTTCACTGTACAACTCCAGCCAGCACGTGTGATTGCTGTAGAAGAGTCTCTTATGTAAGTGACATGGAGTTTACTCACAAGGTAAATCAAAAGCATTGGGATGGAATGGGTATAGCAGGGAGGAACGAGTGTAGGCTCCAGTCATTATCAAAGAAAATGGAAACAGAACAAAAAAGTTTAAGTGACGAATGCTGTAACTGAATGCCAGTTCCACAAAGTACATCACCTGTATAGTGAGAATTCCTTCTAGGCACACAGAGTTTGTAACTGGGCTCACAAGTACTTAAAAAAGTATTATGCTTTCTTTTGCCATATAATCAAACCTTTTTGTATACATATTAACAGTGAAACTCTACAGTAACTGAGTAGTCACAAGATAAACTATTAAGGTATTCACCTTTGAGTTTGAAGACTTTTATTTCTCTCTTCAATCAGCTTCTTCTCTTTGATATCAAAGTTTTCCTTCATTTGTTTAACCTGCACCTCCAGCTGGCTTAACAGTTCTCCTTTACCTTGCCACCTCTTTTTCAATGCGCTGAAAATAAAATGCACGTATTTACAATGACTGTAAATACCACTTCTTAGGAGGGCAGAAAAAACTTCCATTTTTCCTCATTTCTGTGGGTTTTAATAGCAAGCAAATACTCTCTGAACATAGAATAACTTCAGAGCAATGTTGCATACAACGATTCCAAAGAATTATTGTGACTTGTCTGTATCACCTGTGTGCATGCCTAATGTCATCAAGTTCTACTTCTTTTTCTTCTAGCAGTTGCTTTAATTCCTCTTTTCTTTCATTTTGCCTTTCTAATTTTTCCATTAGCTTTTCACATTCGGCAGCTTTTTCATCCAACTCTATTTCAAACAATTTCTGAGCTTCACGATTTTCTTCATGCTGTTTTCTGATTTGTTTATCTTTTTCTTGTAAGCCCTTTGGAAGATAAATATTTTAGTACACATAAACACTCAACTTTATTGTTACAATTTAAGAGTATTTGTTTAGTCTATGGAAGGACATGTGAAAGTTTACTCTTCTGAATGCATGAAAAACACTTAGTAAAGTGATAGCCAGTTAATCAGAGTAAAAAAAAAACCACCAAAACAAATCTGAAGTTGAAAGCAAGTTAAGAAAAAAGTTATTTTGAACTCTTATTCTACATAACAGTTGAATAAACAACTTATTCTTTTGAACAACCTATTCTACACGGTCCCTGAGTTCACAATCTGTAAAAAGTAATGCATCTAACTTTGACTGACATAACATGCTATAAATTTTGATTAATAAGCTAAAGTTTTAAGTCTCTTAATGAATGAATGGAATTAATAGAACAAAACATAGTATCTCTGCTGCCAAAATATTGATTTACAAGAACAGAATAAAGAAAAAAACATTTACATGTTGTAAAATAAACATGAAGCAAACATTTAAAATTGTTTTTCCTTTTTCAGGAAGAATTATGCTATCCGGGTTTCACCTCTCTCAAAATCATTTTCAAGAATAATTTAAAGCAAGGCAAAGAGAATAAAGTCTGTACATAAATATGGTTGAGAGATTCAAAGTAGCACTTCTGTACATGAACATGAATGTAATAAAAAACTCTCTTCTGCTCTCAGTGAAATGAATTGCCACTGACAGACTGATTGTGATTTGTGAGTTGGTAAACAAGGACTGCAGGGCCAGCTTTCATTACAGCCTTTACAATTGCTAAAATTAAGACTTGCAGTGAAAGTTAAGTACAAAAATTGTCAGATATGGCACTTACTTCTTTTAATCTCCTAATTGTTTCTGTCTGATCATCCAGTATTTTGTTTTTAATTCTTATGGTATCACTGTCCTGTTCCTTTTGCTTTTTTAACATCTCAATCTCATTTGTTAGAACTTCAATTTTAGCTTCCAGTTTTCCCCGATCTTGAGCAAGATGAGCTCCTAGACAAAACAGGATATTCACACTACAGTGCTCATTTTACAGATGACTTCAAGATGTAGAATGTTGGGAAATGGGGTGGAGGTGAAGGTAAGAACCACCTTACAAACCAAACCATTGACTATTTTGTCTATTGGAAACACTGTAGGGATTTAATCTGTAGGTAGGTAACACTTAGGTAGCAAGTGTAGAACTGAAGGTCTCTGTTTTATCCTTTGAAAACTTTTCTGAAAAAAGTCAGCAGTAGTTCTTACAGATCCAGCCAATCTCAAAGAGCCCACAAGGTGGTGCTGAGTCACATAGAGAAAAATGAAAAATACCCAAGTTTTTCTTCCCCTCTTAAGTATTTCATACTTTTTTAAGATACATACTGAAATTTTCACATTAGACTTATCTGATAGAAAAGTAGCATTATATAACTCTATTTACAAATCTTTGTTTTCCTAGTTTCATATTTAAAAGCTCTTTGAATAACACTGTGGTATTTTGATATTTTCAGGAAATAGATAAGCTGTATTCGCAACCAACTCCCACAACTGCTGTTACAGATCCCATGTGCCACAGAACATCTGTTTTTGCACATCAACTCTACAGCTAGATAAGATCCAGAAACCTTGTCATGATCACAACTCTACTGGAGTGTTTATTTGAGAGGTAAGACATTGAGAGCACCACCATTTTTTCTGCAAAAGAAAAAATCCCCCCAAAACTATTTTACCCTGTTGTGCTAGCTCCTGTCCCCATATTTTTCTTTCCATTTTTAACCCATCAATCACAGATTCCTGGGCTGTCAGCTGAGAAGTAAGTTTTCCATTTTCCTTTTTTAGAAGTTCAACTTGAACGGCCTTCTGTTTGTCCTCCTCAGTCACAGTTTCAAGTTCTCGAGTTCGACACTATGAATGAACATTGGAAAAAGACAATAAGATCCTTTAAAACAAGTATTCAAAATTTCAAATCAATACTAATTGATTTCCTGGTTAGGAAAGTAATACTTATATACAGCAAATTAACTGAGAAATATTCTGCTTGCATTCAGGGTTCTATATGCATTTCTTTCCAGTTATGAAACTCAAATTTGCTTCAAGTAGACATACTTCAATTCCAGAAAACTGTAAAGTTGATTTCTAGATAACTACCCTAAATTATCAATGCCATTATAAAAACCTATTTAGAATCACAAATTCACAGGTAAAAAAAACCAAAGAGAAAGTAAAGATATTAAAAACCGAATCATAAGAAACAGACAGAACTGGGGTGAATTTTCACTTCCAATGATAAAGACTTATCTTCAGTTATGCAGTCTACTTTTTGTTTTACAGATTACAGCTATTTAATATAGATATTTTTCAATCTTAGCAGCATCACTGACTGGCAGAATCCTATTCTGTATACCAACACAATGTTTGGACACCCCAACAGCAACATGGAGGGAGGAGACTAGAAACAACTGTGCAGCAGTTGTACTGCACCCAAGTTTTAGCACAAAGATGGACTGGATACATACATGGACTGAATCATACATCCATTTAAAAAATATGTTCCTGAGATTTTAAAAAATTATTTATGGATAGCTGAATAGTACTAGCAACTGTGCCCACAGTATTTAACATTAAAATTTGACAATTAGTAGATAATGAATAATACTGCTAATGTTATGCAACTAGGAGATATTAAGCTGCTAATAACTACACTGGATTATCTGTTCAATTTAATTTTTAATTCACGTACAGTGACGAATGCAGAAGCATATTCCATTCCTTTGAATTTACAAAGGGTCAGGGTTACTAATGTAGGTTTTGTAGTTTTGACTGACTATCCGATTACATACAAACTGCCAGTGCTCCCAAGGCAAGGAGTGCATGTTTCAAAACACGACTAGTCCTCTTCCCTATGGGAAGCAGCATTTGTTGAGAAATAGAAGTGCAAGATGCAAGAATAACGGCTGATGTGGAGTACTAAGTTTTAGAGCGACAGGAAATGTGTCTTTCAGTCAGTCAACCTTTTATGGAATCATTAACTTTTATAGGTGAAATATTACAAAAAAACATATATATGTAGTTGAAGTGTTTTGAAACAAGTACCTTTAGGTTTGCTGTAGCTTCTTCATTTGATTTTGTTAATTCTGCAATTTTTGCTTTCTGTTCTTCTACCATACTTGTTAGGTCTTGGATCAGACTTGCCATATCTTTTTCCCTTTGTTCAGACTCAAAGAGGGCTCGCTTATGTTTAACTAGATCAGCAGAAACATTTTCAAAACCCTCTTTTACCTAAAGTTTTGTAAAACAAGACTTGAAAAATGCTAACATTTGGAAAAAGTGCGAATACATAAGCACAAGTGACATTTAAATTCCAAGTGAAAAAATAGAAATTTATCAACTGTATATCAAATTAGTGAATATCCGAAACTGGTTTTTTACTGGTTTGTTGGTGATACTTCAACTTGAAACTGGTTCTGCCCAGCTCCATATTTGTAAAAAACCCAACAAAACAAAGCAAACACAAACAAAAAACCCAAGCCAAACCAACCAACCAATCAAACTCCCCCCAAAACAATACAAAAAACACATAGGTGGATGGGAAGCAGAGCTTGGGAACTGAAAACAATGCCTTGATTTAATTTCATTGTTAAGATTGACATTAAAATCTTGAAAGAAGGAGTTAAAGTAAATTCAATCTTTTTTTTTCCTCGGCAGAAAGATTTGAAGGGTAAAATATAAAATAATGTAAATACTAGCCAAAGAAATAAGTTCTCTAAGGAGTTTAGTAAACAAGTTTTGAATTCTGAGTTTCAAAATGCATATCCAAAATTCAATTTTGAAAAGTTAAACAATAAAGTACTTCATTATTAAATACACTAGTATATATGTAACTATAACCTTATCAAAACATATGCATTTTTAATATAATTGAATATATTCTAATAGAATGTCAACATACTTTAAAAGAAATTAATAACACCAGATAGAAGTGTTTTTTGCTCCTTTCTTTTGATTAACTTCTACATATGAACAAAAATGCTGGGTTTTTTGAGTGCTGACTTGGCATTCGCTGTTGATGCTCTAATCATTGATATTTCAAAGCCTACTATCAGTATTTTTGCGTGAACACTTGAGCATAAGGATAAAAAAAAACCCAGCCCAACAAAAACACCAATAACTGAAACACCCCCAAAATATCTCTCAAAACCCAACACACTTAAGAGAACTACAACCCCATCTAGTGTGAGATTAAATGTTCTCTCAGTCTTACCTCTTTAAACCTTTTTGCTTCAACAGTTAGAGCTAAACGAAATTCATCTTCTAACTCTCTGTACTTCTGGTAGGACATGTTAATTTTCTCCTGAAATTCTTTAACACACTGTTCATGCCTCTGCTCCTCTTTAGCCACTTCTTTTGACAAAGCATCTTGAAATTCAGGTCCATTTAAAGCAACTCGGGTTTCAAGTTCTTTCCTGAAGTTACCAAACATACACTTGAGACACAAACTGCAGTATCTCGCAACGCTATTTCAATTCATTTCCTTGGTATTACTGAACAAGAATAATGAATTCCATAATAAATGGGATAAATTCCTTAGTTTCACAGACAGATTTCAGTCTTCTATGACAATGACACTGCCATGAGGAAAATTCTGTTGACTAGTGTTAAAACACCCAAAGAAATATCCTTATTCTTTAATTCAAATTTTTGTAGAAATTACTAAATCGCTCTTTTGCTTTTAGTTAGCATTTATTAGCTTTGCTGTCAACAAAAGTGACACTGGAATCAGAGAAAAGCCCCGTACAGTCAGACACCCTCTTCTGCAGTGATTCTCTTCACCCTCACCCAACCAACAACTGTTGCTTCTCACTCAAGACTCAGAACCCGAAAAGCAGCAGCAATGGGGACCTAAAAGGAGAATGTTGAAGCAAAAGTACCCTGTACTTTCAGATTATTCTGTTCATCTGCTTTAAAGCAAAAAAAACTGTCCTTCACATTATATCTTTTGGAGATTTATAATTATTGGAAGTTCTCAAAACACAGCTATCAGATTCTTCCATCAAAACTTGCAGCAATCTTGGTATCTGAATACATTTGTCCATGTAAAATTTAGCAAATTTAACCAGCATATTTTATTAGTAACATTTCTCACATATTACTGTACCACAGGGTACTTAGTGCTTTAGTTTCTACGCATATTTGATTGTATTAGATGACAGTAAAGAATGTATACTCAAGTATTCTCCAAAAGAAGGGAAATTTTGGAGAGGAAATCAGCCAGGAAGTAACTCACCCCCACACCCACACGCAGGATACTGCAGAAGCTGACTTATTTTTTTGAATACTTTGTGTTATTGTAGTATATATAACTCTTCAGACAGTAATTCAGATACAATTTTATTTTTATCTGATTTTTCCTGAATTACAGATCAAGTATTTCAAATAAAGAGTTCAGCCATATAATAAGACAAGAACCTATCAAGTGGAAGTTGCCTACATGAACTTATGAGTCAGGAATCTATGAGATATGAAGGTATTCTTAAATAAGCAAGAAAATGTGTGGTAAGACATTTACATTTTTACAAAGACCAGCTCTCACATTACTTAAAAAAAACACCACCCAAACCACAAAACAAATCCAAACTAAAACACATCCATACTTTAGAACACATTTAAACAAAGTATATTTACAACACTAGCATCTCTATTAACTTGTGAAAAGAAAATAGATGACCCAATACCTTTGCTCTTGCTCTCTTAATATGAGAAGTTCATGTAGTTGTTTTACCTTCTCCTTCTGTTGTCGGAAGGATATTCGAAGTAACTGTACTTCTCTTTCATTTGCTGATGCTTTAAGCTCTGCCTCTTGCACTTGTTTCATCTGTGTGGAATTCATAAAGACAAGAACAAGATTTTTTTAAAACTGTAATTTAGTCTTCATGTCTTATCCTGGAATACAAAGGAACAGGTGCTTTATAAGAGTTTTGTTGTTTGTTTCTTATTGGTTTTGTTTTTATTTTGTTTATTTCTTAATACATTTTGTTTCACTTGAAGAAATTTAAGACAAATGTTTAAGTCTTAGCTTAACTTACTACAACACAAAAAAAGCAATTTTCATGAAGAAACAAAGGCATTTACCTAATTTATAAAGAACTTGAAAGTGTCCTGCAGAAGTGGAAGAAATGCATTGGCAGAATGATTTCCTCAATTATAAACTCTCATATTTTAATATTTGTATTAGTTCCAAACAAAACATTTTTAGATGTATTCAACATAACCTTTCTTTTTAACACTCCACTTATATAAACCGCTTTTTGATTTGTACAGTTTATAGTTGCTGAAAAGAGCTGCTTCCTAATGATTTTAGAAAAAATGGAGAATCAGTGTAAACTCCAGATGGCATACTCCACTTTTTCCATTTGATCCAAACTTTTCTGAGTAATTACATTTCATAAGCTTAAGCCTTTTATATACAAAGCTCTCTTTCATGATTCAATAAGGAGGGAAAAAAAGAATATGAAAAAGTAAAGTTATAAAAAAGGTTTTGAATTACTCATGAAGTGGTAATTCAAAACCAGGACACTTCAGAAGGCTAAGTTCTCGTGTTCTACATGTCAAGCCTATTCCTGAGTAATATTTAGACACACATCACTGTATTGTTGTTGTTTTGTGGATGCAGAGAAGCAATTTTCACCTAAATTGAATCACTTAAAACAAAAACTGTCAAGCAAGAGCAGATGAAAATTTAAAGACTTCCAGATCATAGGCAGAAAATAGGCATTTAGATGCATAGTAGACTTATCTTGAATCCCTTCAAGAAGTCATCTAGTAATGCTGACTGAAGGCCTTAAATAGTGACTGCCTGGAGCAAGTGTAATTTGCCACTGAAGCTAACTGCCAATGTGTACTATAAGAAAGCTCTATTAAATATTATAGACTTTGTTAATCTTGGAGTCGATAAAATAGGCCAACATTAAAAAAGAGAATTTAGTTTCTAGAGCATCATGATTATTCTTTGAAACCTAATTATTAAAGAGTATTTTCTCCAGGATCTTAAAGACAGGAACAAAGACTTCCCTCTAAGAAAGTTTTGTAATTAAAAACAATGCTATTACTATCCAAGGAGATGACATATTTCTACAAACTCATTAAAGGAATAAAACCCTCATATATCTAAAACCCTCATATATCAATAAGGTATTTCCATTCTTATAGGATAGAAAAAACTCCACCCCCCCCCAAATGCCTCTCTTGTTCTCTAAATCACTAACTTTAGTACTTTTCAAGGTGACAGGCAGATACCTGATCTAAACTGAAGGCCACTTCTGGATCTGTAATAGCTCCAAGGTATCTACAGGTAAGGAAGAAAATGGAAAAGCCACTCAGGTGCCCAAACAGCAGCCTAAATTAGAGGGTGACTTGAACGGCACTTGCAGTTTGCCATCAAGGAGTGCCCTGAGTCTCATTCCTTTCAGGGTATCTGAGCAACACCACCTCCTACAGCATTGCACTGTAAGTTGAGACTTTTCAGGATGTGTATGTTAGGATTCAGTTTCTGTAAGTTCAGTGACACGGGAATAGGCTAATATAGGAATATAAACAAACAAAAGGTGTAGATATTGGAGGACACTGAAAATTCAGCCATTGACTTTTTAGACAGAAATAGTGGCAGCAACTTGATCTTATGCATTTGTATACTGAAAAAAGTGCCTCCAACAACAAAAGCATCATTATCTTCTCCAGCTGTAAAAGTATCCACCAAAAATCCCAACCAACAAAACAAAAAAAACCCCACTCAAAACAACCAGAATCTTTAAAGTAAGTTCTCAGCAATTACTGCTTTGTTCTGGTTGCAATTAAAAGCATCTAATTCTTTAGATCAGCAAAACAAACAGAATCACCAAGTTTCCATCGGACTAGTAAGATCTTTACTGATTTTTTAAAAAACTTGTTTTTGTTACTGTATATTATCAGAAAATATCAACTCTTTAAGTACATAGGACTTGTTCTCCTTTATCTTAAGACCACATCACATGACATACTTCCATTTATAAAATACATTAATTGACAATTAAAATTGATACCTGTTATTAACTACTAT